ATAAATGGAAAAATTTGAGTATCATGTTGATCTGTGTATTCAGGTGAAATCAATGACAAATATTTTAATTTGGGAAGTTCTTTCTAGAAAGAATATTAATATTGAAAATACCCTTGAAGATTTATTTATAAAAAAGATGATTAAAATCGAATACATACTGTATTATCTATGTCTCGTATCGGATAATAAATCGAATTCACACGAACAATTAATGTTGTTAAACATTCAAGATTTGCATCAAGAAGAAACAAGCAGTCAGCAAATGTTGCAAGATTAATTTTTAATTTAGTTAAAGTTGAAGACATGAAACTTGGTGCTGTTAAGTGAGAAAAATGATTCCAATGTTTTCGTTCAAGAAATAAATCACAAAAATTTAATTCAGTTAATTTTTCACATAAAGATAAAATTAATATAAAAATCTCTGATGTGATACCAAACGATTCTCTATTTGCATTTTTTATATGAATATTAAGATGTGTTATTTGTTTACTAAGCAAATCACGAAGAATAGAATCATCTACAATTTAAAAGAAAAACAACAATAATTATTAACTTACATTCAACCAATATATTATTTTATTAATTAAATACTATATACCTGTTAAATATTGATGAAGTATTTCTCCTTCAAAATTAATAAGTGATAATGAATATAGTTGAGGATAATTATTTGCATGAAGAATACGTTTCATTGAATATTGTTCAATAGTAAGTGTATTTATTTGATCATAAATTCGACATAAGATTTGATCACATATTCTTGAAAGTATTTTATCATCTATTGAAAATGTCTCATCATATATTGATTCAAAAGTTCTAATAGTCATATCAAGATTGCGAATAGTAAGAGGATCAAGTACTAATCGATCAAATCGTTGATTAACATCCACAAGTGAATATAAAACGTCAACTATATTCATTGTATTACAAATAATAAGTAGCATTTCATCAGGTAAATCGAGTATATTCAAGCATTCGTTCATCTTTAACTCATACAATGTATTTATGTCAATCTATAAATGTATATATTTGCCTTTTCTTCTTTCTGCCTTATATGAGAACAATGAAGGGTCAACG